CCACCATCCATCCACCCATCCATCCACCCATCCACCATCCATCCACCCATCCACCATCCATCCACCCATCCATCCACCCATACACCATCCATCCATCCATCCATCATCTACCCATCCACCATCTATCCATCTACCTACTTATCCCTCCATTCATCCAGCCATCCAGCAATCTATCCACCTATTCATTCTTCAAACCATCCATCTATCCACCCATCATCCATCCATCCACCTACTCATCCATTTACCTACTCATCCATCCATCCACCGTCCATCCATCCACCATCCACCGTCCATCCATCCACCATTCATCTACCTACTTATCCCTCCCCATCCAGCCATCCAGCAATCTATCCACCTATTCATTCTTCCACCCTTCCATCTATCCATTCATCATCCATCCATCCACCTACTCGTCCTTTCATCTATCCATCCATCCAGCCAGCCAGCCAGCCATCTAGCCATCCATGCACCTATTCATTCTTCCATCCATCCATTTATTCATCCATCATCCATCATCCATCTATCCATCATCTATCTATCCATCATCTGTCTATCTATCTTCCTATTCATCCACTCACCCATCCTGTTTACTCATCCACTTATTCATCTGTCCCATATGCCCACCTGTGCACCATCCACCCATTGAATATCCATTGGTGACTCCAGGTACCAGGTTACACCGTAGAGGCAGGAATGAGCCTAACACCACCTCCCATCTCCTCCTCAGCCCCACTCTGTTCCTATCCTTGGCTTTAGACAGGGAGGCAGCCAGGCAGAGTTCTAAATAGTACTATGTGCGTGCTTTTTAAGTGAGGCCAGGGATCAGAAGTCAAGGTCTTTAGACTCTACATTGAGACTCTACTGCCTCAGCCTGCACAGTGCACGTGAACTTGAGCTAGTGCCTTCCCTTCCTCCGGCTTCTCTTCTCCCACTGCACAAGCTGGAAAACCTTTGTGAGACTGTGAGTCGTCATAGTGATCATTTCTGCCCTGGTTCTTTTTTTTTTTTTAATTTTTTAATATTTATTTATATTCTCAGCGGACACAACATCTTTGTTTGTATGTGGTGCTGAGGATTGAACCTGGGCCGCTCACATGCCAGACGAGCGCACTACCACTTGAGCCACATCCCCAGCCCTCTGCCCTGGTTCTTGACTCCATGTGAGGCCCAGTCCAGGCCGACGCACCTCTGATTGGCTACTGCTGTTCCTAGGCTCACCTGCTGGAATCTGCTCCCTTACTTCCTCTCTGGGCCCTGCCTACACCGAGGGCCTCCATCACTGCTAAAATCGCCACATTTTGTGTCTTTAGTTAAAGAAGGACTTAGGAAAGTGATATCCCCTGTCTTCTCGGAGAGAGGTGGCTGCCTGGGCTGCCCCCTTGCTCTTGATGGAGGACCCTGAGAAGACGCAGCCTCTCTACCCACTCCCCATGCCCCTTACGCCCCATGGAGGAGGCTACTTCTCAATTCTGCAGCCCCAGGCCAGTGCCTGGCCAGAGACTGCACACAGTAGGTGCAACCTTAGTAGATTGCCTGGTGCACGGAAACCATCGTTCACTGATGGGGAATTGAAGAGCAGGGAAGAGAACGGACGTCCTGCCCTCTTCCCCGCCCCCTCCAGTCTTTATTCACACGCAGGCACACGCGACTCCAGACACGCACACACCCGGCATATTCTGAGAAACACGGGCACAGATACAAAGACACACTCATGCACCCTCGGACACCAGACACACACAGACACACAGACATACGGATAGACACACACACACACACACACACACGCACAGACTGCGATGGTCCGGGGGTTTGTGTCTCCCCCAGATTCATATGTTGAAACCTCAGCTCCCGAGGGGAGGGGGTCCGACGCAGGGCCTCTGGGAGGTGGACGAACAGCTGCCCTGAGAAAGGAGCCTGGAGGGAGACCTCGTGTAGACACAGTAAGAGGCCACAGGGCAAGAACCAGAAAGCAGCCCTCGCCGGACGCCACATCTGCACACACCTGGGTCTCGGAAGCTCCAGCCTCCAGGACCGTGAGAAATCAGTCTCTGCTGTAAGCATCTTGGTGCACGTTGTTTTGTTACAGCAGCTCTACTAGACTAAGACGCACACATGTGGACAGACACACAGGCACATGCACACACCCTCTGACACAGACACACCTCACGTAGACACAAGCACAGACACAGAGGCACAAACACACACTCAGACCCTTGCTCGAGGTCACATGTTCACACAGACACCCAGAGACACACACAGGAGCCCTCCCGACCTGGGCTCCTGGAAACCACTAACACAGCCATGAAGCCCCGGGACCTCTGACTCCTGCTCACTGTCCTAAGAGCAGGAAGTGCCCGCTCTCATGCCTCTGCCCAAACCCACCCAGACCCTCCATTTCATGCTACATCCTTACGTTATTCAAGTTGCCCTTCTTAGAGGGGGAAAAAAAATGTCATTTAAGCTGAGATCTCCTGGGCCATGAGCCAAGATATAACCCTGGAAGGCTTTGCTGCCGGTGGAGAAATCCCCCACGCTATTGAGGAAGCACCTCCTTCTGCCGAGGCTCAGGAGCACGTGGCCTTGACCTTGGACTGAATGACCCAACACTAGCTCATTGGCATCGACCAGGATGCAAACCCGAGGCGCAGGCGGTACCGTGAGACCACAGCGCCCGCTTCCTCCTGCCTCTCTGCACGCAGGGTTCCCGTCTCCTTATCTGCTTATCTCTCCCCTGTCTTTGGCTTCACATCTGCACATGCCTTCTGCACATGTGAGCCGACTGGGAGCCTTTGGTAGGGTCTGCTTTTGGATCATCCAGCCGGGGGCCTTCAGTCAACTGCTTCTGCAAAATTTACGACCCTGCGTCATCTCCAGCAGATAATTTGGCCATAAGTTAACTTTGGTGTCTTTTCAAGTCACAGATGCATTCCTGCGTCCCGGGGCTGGCTGCCCTCTCGGGGAGGTGGGGATGGGAGAGACACGTTTGGCTTTGCCCGGTCTTTGCCGCAGCCTGTGGCTGAGAAACCGTGGACACCGTTCATCTTATCTGAAGTCGTGGCTTTTGATCAACAGCGGAATGTATGTTTCTTCTCCAAAAAAAGGAACCCAGTGTATTCAACAGATTATACATTCATTTCGCCGTCGTGACATCGTATGAACAGATAATCCACCAAAAAAAAAAAAAAAAGGAAAAAAAAGAAAAAGCCTCAGATTTCTTAAAAGTGAATTTAATTATAAGTGGTAACGTGCGCTGGAGAATTATAATTATAAAAAGTCATGTTCCCTAAGTCTGAAAGGAGAGATTATATTTCAAAGGCTTATGGCAGTGGAATTAAAGGACCCAATTTATTAGTTGTAAACGTCTGATTATGGAGGCTTTGCTTTAAACAGACCCACGCGCACGCGCGTGCGCGCCCGCACAGAGGATCACAGCATATTCTAGCTGGATTTAGTACGCATAATCCTTTTGACAAGAGTCGTATTTTTGCACCCAAAGCTGCCACCGCATGATTTTGTTTGTGAGACAGAGACAGGCAGCTAATCTCTGGTTTCTGATCCCCCCAAGAGCAATAACTTCAAGTACTTTGTGGGTAGGCGTTTCTCCCCTCATCCCCATCCCTGCCAGTGGGCAGGACGTGGACATGAGCCGAAGGACAGAAATAACGTCACCAACAGGGCACTGGGAGGCACTGAGGCTGCAAAAGACCTGGGACTGGGCTGAATTTGTCCATTCCTCCACTGTTTATTAAGCACCTACTATGTCCTGGGCGAAGTGCATTCTCCACGCTCTCGGTGAAGCCTCCCAGACAACACCCTGAGATGGAGAGACCCGTGGGTGGCAAGCTTCTTTATAGCACAGGGAACTGAGGCTCAGAGAGGTCATCGGGCAGCTTGCCCCGTGAACCTGAGGTCTGAGAGGTGGAGGCAGCCCCTGCAGGGAAGTCCCCGGACCTCACTGGCCGGGGACCTGCAGGTTCCCTGGTGAGAGAGGGAGTGGTGGGCAGCGGGGGTGTCCACAGGGGCATTGCTTGGGGTGACAGGGCCGTGTCCTCAGCTCCCTTAAAGACACGGAGGGCAAGAGAGGGTTCATCGTATTGGTTCAGAGGAGGCCCAAAAGGGTCGAGTGAGACTTTGCAGCCCTGATGTTGAGCGGAGTCCCAGGCAGGAGGAGGGTCCCTGCCGGGAGGAGGAGCCTGTGAAATAGGCAGCCTCTAGGGAGCCTTAGGAAGGAGTTTGTGTCTCGGACTATGTGACAGGGCTTTGGGGGTGTGAGAGGGAGCAGGAGGGAAGGAGATGAGGCAGAGGCAGGAGGTGAGCCCGGAATATGGATGGTAAAGAGCTTCTGGTGCCCAGCTAAGGAGCTTGGATTTCTCCTGTAGGCAATAGGGAGCCATAGAAGGCTAATGAGCGAGAGTCGGGGGAACTGCGGAAAGAGATGGCCAACTCAGCAGCAGGAGCCAGGTGGTTGACAGATATGAGAGACAGAGACCTGAGGAGGCTGTGGAACCAGACAGAGGTGCCTGGGCTAAATTTGTTCATTCATCTGGCTTCAGTCCACTGAGAATAATGGAAATGGGTTAAGAAGCTGGCAATAGTGGTAACTTGGTAGATGGATTTTATATATATATAAAGCCCCAACCCCACCCCTTTCTTGATCCATATCCTTTATTATGTGACTTAAATTCCTTCCCGTTTAGCAGTGCCCCTCCCCCACGGAATCTGATGTGACCTGTTGAAGGTTAGAAGTGAACACGTGCCTTGTGTCCTGAGCAAGCCTCAGGGGACTTCAGCCCTCACCCTTGGAAGGCCACCTCCACCGTGAAGACCAGCCCGCACTGGCCTGCTGCTGGAGCAGAGCCCACGTGGAGCACAGCCCCATCATCCCAGCTGGACCTGCCTTGCTCAGCCCGCCCCCAGCTGACCCTGCAGTTCTGCAGAAAAAGAGAGCCCAGCCCCATCAGCCAAGGCCAGCCCCCATCAGCAGGCCCAGCCAGCCAGCCTGAGAACTAGTGAGAAATCAGTGCTTGCTGTTTAAAGCCTCGGTGTCTTGGGGCTGCTTGTTAGGCAGCAATAGCTAACTGATACACTCACCAATTCATGCTTTAAAAAAAAAAACAAAACTCCAGGCTGATTTCCCTTTACCACCCCACAATAATAGAGAGGGATCAGAGACCTGGTAAACACCATTTCTGGTTCAACAAAAATTGCTCAGTGCCAACTTGCTGGGGTGGGACAGAGGAGGGGAATCCTGATGATGTTTCGCCCCTGGTACCACCAGGAGTCACTTGCTAGTTTCTGGATGTCTCCAGGCTATTTTACTCCTGTGTACCTCGGTCTCCTCATCTGTGAAATAAGGACCCTAATTTCACGTGGCTCGGCAGATGTCTTCTGAAAGGACGAGTGAACGCTGGTCAAATGTCCCCTGTGATCCATGCGGCCTGCGAGGCAGCGGCAGCGGGAGCATCAGAGTTTCTAGCCACAGCAACCCGCGATGGCTCTTTCTAACCCCCCACCAAAGAGCCTGGCCCGAACCCCGCCTCTGGAAACCGGCGTGTCCTGTCCTCCGCCCGAGACCCCAGCCTCCCTCTGGACCCTTCTCCGGTTCATCTTGCAGCTGTTCTGGGGAGAAGCGGCTCACACAGAAATCGGGCCCAATCCCCACCTGCTCAACCACCTGCTGTGGCTCCCCAGGGCCGCAGGGAGGTGAGCTCAGGGTGTGAAGTGAGCTGGGTGGGAGAGGCAGGGAGTGGGCAGCCCCGGGGTGAACTGGAAGTGAACAGGGGCCACCTCCGCTTAGCTCCCGCCAACCGAGGCCACCGGGCCCTCCGGCCACCTGCGTCCGACCCGCCAGGGTCGCCAAAGAGCAGGCAGGAGACTCGCGTCTCACTTGGAACCTCGCCCTTTAGAACGTGGGGCTTGGCCGTTCTGTGGCCT